TTCCCCTAAAAAAGTTTATTGGTCCCTAAAATTTTTATTTATTCCAAAAATATCCCAATAAAATTACCAATTAATCCCTAAACTTTTGATATATCTTCAAAATACCCCTATAAAATTACAAGTAACCCTCATAATTTTAAAATATTTCAAAAACCCCCCTGAGACCTAAACCGGACCGGAGAAGCTACCGGTTCACGGTCCAACCGGTCTGACCGGCCGGTCCGGTCCGGTTTTTAAAACAGAGCTACTATTCAATTGTAATGACCCAGATGCCGAACAATAATAATTTTGGCTGTGGAATTATATGAAGACAAATGATGAACCATTTATCATTCATAATTTTAATTGGTTAAGTTCTACTTCAATACCAAATTCTATAGAATGGTAAAAAGTCATATGCCAAACCATATTTTTAAGTAATTTCAGTTCAATTGTCTAAGAACTAATGTAATATCGGGTTGGTTTGAATGTAGTTTGATGACAAAATGAACATTAAGCAAAAAACATTATTTGAAATTATATCTAATTTTCAAGCAAAACTTCCGGACTGTTGGTTCAACATTAATTGTCCGATTCACAAAACATTATAATTTAATATTACTTATTTGGATTAAATGGGTATACATTGACATGTAATCTTTATATGAAATTACTATTCTTAATTTCTTTATCATTTATTCCTTTAATTATTAATTGAACATTAAATTAAATATTATCACAAATATTTTCTAATCTATTATTTTAGTCAACCTTAGGATACTATTTATATTGTATAGTTTCCAAATTATATCAATATATATTGTAATTTGTAACTAACATAATTAAGAGATTTAGTAGATTATTTTTCACCTATACAATGTATGTACCTCTATAAAAGATATCAACCAATTGAAACATCAAATTATTCAAACAAAAGTGGTGTTAAAACAAATTTCATAAGCAGCCCGCACAACAGGGAGACCTTCTACCTAATTAGGTATTATATATTTATCTATCAACAAAAGACAGTAAACATAAGCTCAATTAATTAATTGGGAGCGTCCTCCCCAATTTATCCTCAATAACACCAGTCTGAATCCCTGTAAGCGTTGCGTGAAGTTTATGTGTCACTGTTTCATTTCCAGTTTTGTAATCAGCCCTGCATTAAAATTATTCCATAGTTAATAGAGGACGAAGGAAGAAGGAAATTAAACAGCATAAATATACATTTATTTATTTATTTATTTTACCTTGTATTTTTATACGTTATACTGGCAACAGGAGTCACAACCATTGCGGTTCCTGTGCAAAATACTCCATCTGCATTCAACAAAACCTCCATTGGAACATTGCGTTCCTCCACCTGAACATTGTACTTATTTATTAAAACATTTCCTCAATTCGCCCTTTTATTGCGATTAATAGAATTAACGACAATTAATTAGCTACCTGGTAACCCATATCAGAAGCAAGTTTAATGATGCTTTTTCGGGTGACACCAGGCACAATAGTTCCATGTGTTGCTGGAGTTGAAATTACATTGTCCTGCAAAAGAGAGATTAGTTAATATTGGAAAAAATAGAGGACTTCTGATATTAATGAAGCGAAACATTTGTGTAGAATGGCCTTTAGTTCTTACCTTGAGAATGAAAATGTTACATGAAGAAACCTCCTCAATGTACTTTCCAGTTACTGCATCCAAGAATAAGACGTCAGTGAAAGCTTTGGCCTTTGCTTTGGCTACGGTTTCATAAACCTGCAATAAGCAATGAAAATTTAAAAACAATTCGATATAGCATCACGGCATGTAATGAAGCTCAATTTTATGCTCACCCCTGAGTAGTTTGTGATACTCTTAAGTCTTAATGCCTCCAGTTCCACCAGGTCCAGCACGATGGAGGTCTCTTTCGATCAATAAGTTCAGGGATTCTCTACCCTGTAATATATATTAGTGACATTATTGTTAAAAATATTGCATCAAACAAAAGAAAATTAATTAAATGACTCAAGTAATTAGTGTACCTTGTAGAAGTTGCCATGGACTGGGCTCAGTGGGCTGGTCTTTGTGACTATGAGCTTAGTCATTGTTAATATATATAAAAAAAAAAAAACTTTAGTATTCACAAAATGTAAACTCATAGCCACATTTCAAAAGTCTTTAGCACAAACATATTAATGATTTTAAATAATTTTACCAATATCATGGGAAACTAGTATTATGGTTAGTGTCAACGCCATCATCATAATGAAATGTGTCTACAAAAGATGATCTTTGTATTGGTGCCAATACTAGTAGTAGAAAAGGCGATTTTTTTGCCACAAGAGTGAAGAAAGATGCAAATAAGGCATAACAGAATGCTTCTCTTTTAATAAAAATTAATAGAGGTATTTGGGTCCTAACTATTAATTAAAGGTATTTAAGTTTTATTTTTTTCGATTAACTTCAATGGAAAATGGCAATTTTTGTAACTTTTGCTCCTATTTTATAAATTTAATTCAAATTGGTTGATTGTTAATTGATACTAATCATATGGGCAATAAAGTAAATAAATATAAAATAATCTGCATTTCTAATTATAGTTCATTTTTTTCGACATAAAATGTGGAAGATTTTTATTTATTTATTTCAGATGATGATTATAATAATATTTTAGGAGATTGTGTATTTATAATTTATCTAATTTTGTGTGTACTGCCAGATTAAATAATGAAACAAATACATGTTCTCGAGGGACAATGTCTGACCCGATTTCATGGAAACAATTTAACTGGTTGGGAATAAATAAATAAATAAATAGGTCACATTTATTATTATTGTTTTAACTTTTAATTACAAAAAGAAACCAACAAGTAATTGAGAAAATAAATCTAAAAAGAAAGCATTTGTTGATGCGTGATTTTAACACCAACTAATCGACACGTGTGTAACGTTGGTGGGTCAAGAGACACACATGGGTCAAGAGACACACATAGGTATTGATAACGGGTAGAGTAAATGCAGCAATGAGAGCTTTTTAAAGTGGTTCGGATGCTAAAGTAGCAAGTCCTACGTCCACTAATAGTTGTATTAGTATTATGGGTCAGGTCACAACAGCGAACTGACTTACAAATGATTAGGGAAAAGTAAATACAAAGATACAAGAGAGAGAGAAAGTTAGTTCAGAGTGTAAAAAGGCCAAATCCCCTCAATGAAGGGGTCTTTCCCTTTTTATAGTGAGATGAGTGCAAGTAATCATCATTAAATCCGTGGGTTGATGCGAAAGTCAGGGCAAAATCCGGTTTTACGTCACATTGCCCACCTTCCAAGCTGATTTCATGCGATTTAGAGCAGGGAATGGACACGTGGAAGCTCCACAGCGTCTGACAGGCCTGACGTGTGCTTACCGTTCTGACGGGAGCATGTCACACTCTATCACGCGATTTCCCACGCCAGCCCTTGATTTCCCAGGCGTAACAGCATTAATTGCAAAAAGCTAGATTTGACATTAATTAAATACGTCAACATGTCATACTATAAATAATATTCTGTATGTTTTAAAGCGTGTTTCAAACATTATTCTCTTATCTTATATTTGAATTTTGAATTGTAAAACTGTATGAATATTTTTAATGAAAATGAAGCTTAAAACCATTTTCAACATTTAGTCCCTTATAGTTAGACCCGACAAAACGGGTCTGGACCCGCAGGTTAGACCGTACCCAGGTAAAAAATATAGGGTATGGGTCCAATTTATTAAACCCATTTTTTGAGACCCGTACCCGTACCCGGCCCAAATACACACGGTTTATACGGGTGAACCCACGGGCACCCGTATTTGCACTAATGAATTTTGAATCCCTAACAGTAACCCCTAATTTTATCACGCATTCAGCCATTCACGTAGCAGTCACGCCTCTCACTCTCAGTCTCATCTCATCTCTGATATCTCACATCTCTGATCTCTCACTCTCATCTCATCTCTAATCTCTCACATCTCTGATCTCTCACTCTCATCTCATCTCTGATCTCTCACTCTTTGATTCTCAGTAACTTTATCGCGGCCGCATCTCAATCTCTCATCATTCTTCTTCGTCTGAAGTTCAACTCCCTGTCTCGGTGTCTCCATCTTCGATTAATAGTCAGTTCGTCACTCGTCGGCTAGTAATGAATCCCTAACCCCTAATTTTGTGTGTTTGTTTTTGTTTTTTTGACAGATTTTGTGTTTTCTTTTCCAGGTGGAATACGCTCTGGAAGCCGTCCGTAAGGGGAACGCCGCAGTTGGAGTACGTGGAACTGATATCGTCGTCCTCGGCGTCGAGAATAAATCCACCGCTAAGCTCCAAGACTCCAGGTAGTTTATATACATAAGCTAAGTTCCGCTTTTGTTTACTGGAATTAGTGATCGTGCTGAGCTGATGTTATTTTAAGTGTTGTGATTTGGATTATGAATTGATTATGTTAGTTGAAATTGTGACATTTACCATTCTCAAATATTGAATCTTACTAGTACGAATTTGAATGTTTGTGAGCTATAATTTTGAACCTTTACATGTTTAAAGTGAACTAAAAATTTTGCAGTTTCTGTTAACTCTTTCTGTTGAGAGTTGAGTTTGGATTTAAATAAGTATTGGAGACGTCCGCATATGAGAATTCTTGAACTTTTAAATTTCCAGTGTAGTCGTCAGGTTTAATGGTTTATTGTGATATGAATTTCTTTTGAGCAAATGAAGAATATGTGCCAAAAAGTTGTTTTTCAAGGTAGAAGTTGACTCATGCATGCTTATTAAAATGCCTATAAGTTTAAACTACACTGCCGGGATGAGACATTATACCATAGGAGGTTGAAGATGCGCATTGCTTTTATGATTAGATTGATTTGAAGGTATAGTATCTGCATTAAATTTGCCAACGAAGAAGAGTATCATTTTCAAAGACTTTATATGTGATGTTGATGATAGGTCAAAGAGGTGCTGGAAGCCCAATTTCCAGGAGAAGCGGCTCTTTAGTTTCATATTAGACCGCCACATTAGAGTCAAAAGTCACAACCCATGCTCTTCGCTGCATAGATAAGGCAGGGGGCATTGATGAGTATCTGCTGAAGACTCCTTACCATAAGATGGATACAGAAATGGGTCTTTTTTGGAAGAGCAAGATTGAGAAGCTGCATGAAGAGCTGGGGAAGATGGAGGTAGTATTCTTTTCACCAGAAGATGAAGCCAAGTTTGAACAGGGTTTTAAAGACCTGAAACTTGCCAAGAGGGCAGCCCGTAGGGAACTCAGAAGACAGATGTATGGAGGTTCAAGCAAACAAACACAAACCGAGGAAGGAAGCACAGATAGTCCGGTAACTGATGAGGAAGCTACAACCTCTGGGGAAGGAAGCCAACATCATGATGTTCATGAGCAGTTCGTTGCCAACTCCTGAGACTCAAGTTTGGACCTCCACACTTGCTGGGGATATTAAAATTTTTTAGACTCTATCACGCCCATTATAGGATAAACATTTGCTGTCCTAAAAATGTTTATTTTGATTCCTATTTGTTTATTTATATTCTAGATTGAATTGAATTTAGAGCAGTTGATTTAGGGGGTGTAAATGTAAAAAATTAAAACTGCAGGAATTTTGAGGGTGTAACTGTCATAATTGAAAACTATTAAGGGTGAAATTAAAAACTAAAATCTGGAGAGAGAAAAAACGAGTCCACCCGTACCCGTATAGGGTAGGGCACGGGTCCAACATTTTGGACCCATATAAGGACCCGTACCCGTTTGACCCGTATCCGTTTAACCCGGACCGTACCCGGCCCACCCACCCGTTTTGTCAGGTCTACTTATAGTATCTCCAAATAATTTTTTATATGACATAAACTTTTTATTATAAAGAGTTTATCTATAGAAACAAGAGTTCAACAGACTCTTTATTCTTTAAATATAAATTAAAAAGTGGGTTTGACTCTCTATATTTAGATAGTCAAATTTCATTCTCTATCATAATTTTAAATAATAAATTGTAAGTTTCTATGTATTTTATTAGTGATTTATCTCTTGTATTAAGTTTCTTTCCTAAAAAAATATATTTTCTCTCCTAAAATTTAAAGAGTTTATTGGATTTGAATAAAAAATTTATTTTTTATATTTAAAAGTCAACTAATATTCTTTTTATTTATATGAAAGATACTATTAAAGATGCTTTTATAGAATTATCATTTATCTTTTTTGGAAAATTATATAAAAAGAAAAATCTTTAATAAGGAATGAGGAATATTTGATAAAATTAATTGAGGGGGAGGAAAATAAACAGAAAATAATCATTTAACATGTGATGTAATAAGAAGAGCAAAGTTTATCCGAAGAAGATTAAAATAGAATTTAATTCGAAGGTTATTCGATGTCGGCTCAGCCTCAGCCTGCTTTTGACCAGACTTTTCTTTTCTGTTTGTCTCTTTCTCTTTCTATTTCTATTTCTATTGCTTTGAATTTTAAGTGAGATGGGATGTTTCATTGCGCCAGTGAATCAAGTGGCAGCAGATAACTTCCATGTCACCTCACCATACATCTTCCTCTCGACCTACACCGCTCCCATATCTTTTTCATTATATTTTCAAGAATGGATGATATTAATAGGAGAAATTGAATTCCAAAAGATTCGTAGAAACTCCTAGTATGTAAATCTAATTCTATTTTATTTAATTATTTTAAAATTTTTTAAGTTTATTAATTTAATTAAATACCCAAAAACAAAATTTAGAAATTAACAAAAACACTATCACCCATTTACATTTGTTAGATTTCGGTCACCATCGTCAGAAGATGGTTAAAATATGACGTAATGGTGCACTATCAGTTGGATCTGACCAGTAGTGTGTCGATCTAACCTTTTTCAACTAGATTTATGGTCAAAGATCTAGTCATGGTCATCAACAACTATCATATTTTTAGCCGTCGTTGACGACGAAATATGACCAAATTTGATCATTGAGATAATTCTGTCAAAAAATGTTATATCGATGCACGATTGATCAAATCTATTTGATCGTGTGTCAGCACGACGATCGCCAGTCACCATCCAACAACGGTGGCAGCTGCCCGTAAATACATGCCAAGGATCATATAAAATACTAAAAGGTCCACTGAAATAAGGTTAATATCATTATACCCCATTCAAACCATCAGTTTCTTTGGTTAAAAATTTGAACATGTGTAGTACAAGGCAATAATAGTGACAGAACATGGGATCATTATCTCTTTGTTTGATTTGTCAACCACGTTTCAATGGCAAAGTATAAACAGTAACGTGGCCTAAAAATTTGACTCATATAACTGTAACCCAAATCTCATTGACCAATAATGTTTGTAGGCCAAACCCTTGGATAAATGATAATTCCTAATTATATATTAACTAGGGTCCTCCAAGTTGCTTTGGATCGCTTATTTTTATTTTTTATGTACGGAGAATAATATCTTTGTGTAAAAGAATAATTAATTGGTTAAGATTTATAGTAGCACTTGTTCGTTTATATGGGTCCATTATTCCATTTATCACTTTCCAAACCACGAAATTTCCTTCTCATGTCTATATCAATTTCACGTGATGTAAAATGTAAAGAAGCGTGATTAATTGATTAATCATGATAAGCATGATTAAGAATGTAATAACACATGATAAGCATATAGTGTGGTGCGCATTCACACAGTCAAACACCCACGTCTATTCTATCATTTAACACCGTCAAATCAATAATTCTTATTCAATTTGGGACATTAATTGATTTATATTCTTTGCATATAAGATGTGATACATTCCTCACGTGGTAAGTTTAATAGTTAATGCCATTACCAAATCATGAATCCACTTTCGGCTCCTTTTTCTTTCTAGATAACCCAAATTCTCCCAAATCTTTGTACTTAGAATTTACAATTTCATTTTCCTTCATCATTACAACAATGAAGTTAGATGTGCATAATTATTAGAGGGCCTTCTAATCTTTGCACCTATAAATAATATCCCTTTCATGGATAGAAGAATAATTAAAGACTCTTTTTGAGTTGACAGATTTAGGTAATTATTCTTTTCTAGAATATGATTGATTCTTTCAAATACTGGGTAATATCATAATTTAACATTGTTCTGCCTCCGTCAGATTTGTGTCACGCATTCTTATGGTATATCAGAGCTTGACATCAAAATCCTCTTACGTTGTCGTTTCATCAGTGCATATCTTCTCCCACAAGATGATTATTGTTATAAGCATCAATTAATTTACTATTAGCATAACCCAGTCTATCACAAACATAAAGATTATTAACTCATATCTTAATTAAGAGAATTATGCATACTAGCAATCCCGTAATATTCCCTCTCAATCATTGTCAGACAGACAAACTATATAAGGAGCCCACAACATTTGTTTCATAGGACAAATTCTAATTTTAGTAAAGTTCAAGAGGAAAACACACTCGTACATGTAAAATAGCATTAAGTGAGAGAAGGTCACCAGAGATAAATGTCCTTCATTTAGCTTGAATTGGTCTTTGTATTGTCAAACCACTATAAAAATCTATTTTGTTTATGTCATTTTATTGATCACGTTGGTTATCAGTAATCATGTGTATATTTTATATGATCTCTTCTTAGGTGTGCCAATTTTCGCATCAACAAATATCATATTGTATTATTAAAAAAAAAAAGAGGTTAAAAATCATTATTTATGTGTCAGTATCATATTCAATACATATAAATTATTCACTGATCTCACTAATTAATATAGTGCTGACAAATAAACTATCATATTAGTTGAGATTTCGATCAAATTGTACTAATTCTATATCATATACTATCAATATTCATGTGAACTCATATTCTACATCAATAGAACTGAAGATATGATTAACCCAATTTCCGAGTACAATCTAATTATACAAATTGGAGTACAATCTAAGTATACAAATTGGAGTACAATCTAAGTATACATATGGGGTTGAAATGTCACATCAAAGTCACCCCAATAAATTATAATCATGCAAAAATATAACACGTACAACAATTGATGAGCTGTTTAATACCTGGAATTATTATTATGGTACCATGCATGATGCATCTCTAAATATTTGGTACGTCCTGTAAATATTATCAATTAATGTTGTGTACTTGTAATCTTTTATTGTAGGGATCATTTACTACATGGAATATCGATTCACAAAATCCTATTTCCTGACACACCTCAATTTTGTTTCAATGGGGACGGGAGGAAAACAAATACAACATTAACAAATTTTAAGTAAAAATACAAAAGTTAATTATATTGAATTAAAACATCGAGGTATATATTAATATTATTATTATTTAGAATAGTCAAGAGGAAAAGAAAAAGTAAGTTTAGTTTGAAACTATAATGTTTGATTTGTAATTCAAAAATAATTTTTAAAAATTAAAATATGATTCAAATTTTTAAATTGTATCTTAATATTTTTACTATTAAAAAATTTGTCTGATATACAATTTAAAAAATTGTTTTCAAATTAAAAGCTATGGATTTTTAATAGTTTTCTAATTTTGCACTAGTTTTTATGATTATATTTTAAAAATATTTTTGAAAACATTTCTACTCTTTTTTTTATCAAATGCATATTCATAAAATTTGTTGTATTTCTTGTTTCAAAAACAAAAAACTGTATTTAAATTCTATATATCAAACGGGCCTAAATTCTATATGAAAAACTAAATTTTTATTCAATCACTTCAAAAAAAAAAAAAAAAAAAGTAAGCTTAAAAGTCTAAAAGATAGAGTAAACATCTTTTTTCTACCTAAATAATGGCTAAATGACATTTTCTCACCCATAAACTTTTAAAATATCACTTTATTATCGAAATTTATATTCCGGTAGCAAACAGAAAGCAAACTTGGTTCAGACTGTCGGGACTTTTGAAGAGGGGAGGCCACTGGTTGGATTTTAGTGGTTGAGATTGATTAGAATTTGACTTGGGAGGGACGGTTGCGCAAACCTTAATCACTCAATTGCTGGTGATTGACATGGTCGACATGAGTATGGTATAAAGGATTTTGGTAAATAATGATTAAAGAAGAGAATAATGGTAGTGTGGGATAGCAATGATATCAAAATTAGAAATAATATATAATTTTGGATAATAAAGTGGTAGACATATATGCATGTAGACTTTTCATAAAATAAAATAAAAGGGTTATTGTTTACAATAAGTTTAGAAGGAGGTAAACATAATTGAACAAAATATTTTTTTTTAAGTGTTACGTTGACGTATTAATAGGGTACTTTATAACAAAATCTTTAAAATGTAGGTGTTTGTTGAGACACCTAATTAAAATTTAGCATTAGTTAACATACGATTGAATGTCGAATTAATAAAATAATGAAAACAGAAAGAGTAGATAGATTCATGAATGAGATTGGAGAGAAATCT